ATCTCAGGAAAATATTGCACTACTTGAGAAGTAATTTGTGATCCTCTTCACAAATTACCCTTTTTTTCCTAAAAGACAACAGTGGCTGGAAGTCCAGCAGAGATTTCTGTGGCTGGAGCAGACAGACCCACAGAATCAGAATATTCAAGGTTGGAAGGGACCTCTAGAGACCATCTAGTCCAACCTTCCTGCTCAAGCAGGCACACCTAGAGCATGTGGCACAGGGCGGCATCCAGGTGGGTTTGGAAGACCTCCAGAGAAGACCTCTGCTCTTGAGAACTACCAGCACCTTTAAATGCTTCAAGTCCCTCAGCTGAGCCAGTACACAAGGCATTCCTGCATCTGTATTCGCTTTGTATTCGCTTTGTATTCAGGCTTTCAGTTTAAAACCTTTGCTACCTAAAATTGTGGGCAAAATATTCATATTTTTTTTGGTCTTTCTTACTTCTCTTCCATACTAGCTGCCACCTCGCAATCTCCAGGTTCTCCTTCTGTGTAAACTGAAATATCAGTTTGCCTTCTAATGATACTGTGAGAGATGAAATAATGAATACACGGTGCAACAACTACGCAAGCTAAATACACATTGGTCAAGTGACTGGTCTCCATCTTGGTACATACCGTGGTACATACCTGGTACATACCGTGATACCTGTTACCACCCTCCTCAGAAAGATATTTTGGCAGAGAATGAATTACAGGGAAGCTTTCAAAAAGGAGTGTACAGCGGCCTACAACTATGCTAGTGCTGGAGCATTTTCCTGAGCAAATCTCTCAGGACATTAAGGCTGTGAAATAAACTGAGAAATCACAACAAATCATTATGAGAAGTGATCAACAAAAATGAAAAACTCAAGTGTCGCTAGCCAAAATGGGAACTGTAAAAAAAGCATTGTGTTTAGCAGTAAAATTTTCTTCAAATGTCTATTAACATTTAAATCTGAAGACAAGATACAATCAAGTCTTTCAGATATTCCCAAGATTTCCATGATTTTAATAACCAATAAGAAAATTTCCTTACTGAAATCTTAATGGATTTCTTATGAATAAAAGCACTGAAAAGGTCAATAAATGCTAGCTATAGATTGCCTAAGAAAGAAATAGATTTCTTGCTTCTTCCAGCCACCACAGTAGCTACTGATGCTTTTTTGAAAATCAAACCAAATCAAACCTACTGGAACAGAACAAGATCAGGCACCAGCCGAAGCTGGACATCATGACTAACAGTTAATAGCAAGACTTTCATTAAGATAATGAGGACAAACAGGCATTTGCATTCTTATATTTTTGCATTCTTATATTTTTGCTATTCATGCAATTCCACCAACACAAATCTGAGTTCATGAATGAACCAAAAAAACCAAAGCAACCTCAAAAACCAGAAACTCCTATAACACCTGCCTTACGCCATCCAAAAAGAATGAGTGTTTTTTATCGGTGCAGTGCAAGTAAGTAACGCTCAAAAGGGCCACACAAAACAGATTTTTTTTCTTTTTTTCTTTTTTTTTTCTCTGTGTTATGCTGTAGGAGGAGATTTCATTACAAAAATGAAACAGGAACACAAACCTTCAGTTAAATAAAAGCATCAGCGCGGAGGATGGAATATTAAGAGTGAAAACCTGCAGGATGAGCCTATGAAACAATATCCTAAAGTCCTAAAGGATAGGAAAAAAAAACCCTAACCCAAAATAAAACACCTGCATAAAAGCAGATGACTAGTAGGAATGCAATACAGGTTATAATAATAATTTGCACTGGATTGAGAGACCAGCTTGCAAAGACAAGTACCCACTGGGCACTCATCTGTTAGCTGGGTCCTGGGCAATGTGCAACACAAACAGAAAATGAAACAGTTAAAGTATAAATTATGCACTATGCTGCATTACATTGCAAAGTCTGTCTCAGGGTGGGAATTCTAACTCCAAATTCTCTATTTTTTTTTTAAGTTTAAGGCACAGAAATATATCAGATTTCCTAGATTTCATAAGACAGTGCAGCTTTCTGCCAATTTTTAGCCTACTACCCACTTAGTACTGATAACAGGGAAAGAAAACTTAATTCTATGAAGGAAATATTGACATTACAATTAGCCTCAAAATAATACAAGCAAGCCAGACTAATTTTAGCTTTTATGCCTATCTTGCAAAAAAAGAATATGTTTTATTTAATAAATCTGAAACTTGATTGTAAGAAAACAAAAAAAAAAGAAAAATTAAATCTTCCAGTGCTCAATTGGTAAAGTAAATAGTGGAGTTCCATTATTTTTTATGACCCCATTAAAAAAGAAAAAGATATACGAAAATGTAGATTGTAGGTCTATGTTTTTAATACATCCTTAGGCATCATAAAAACTGCTAGTGTTACATAAACAAATTGTAACATTGCTTTCTCTAGGTCTCTTATAAACCAAAAAAAAAAATGCTTTACACATTAAATTGTAAATTATTATGGAAAAGGAAGCTCTATAAAATACTTCATATATGAAAGAAAAGGGATTCTGAGATGGAAAAACATCTGATAAGGTGATATTAGAGATAGGTATATAGAAAACATAACGAGAATTATTGTGTTCAATCATCACATAAAATGAAGTTCGGTGAAGGGACTGAAAACAATGCATTTGTTTTAAGTAGAGATCAAATCACATATGTTTGGGATTAGTAATGGTGTTTTCATGATCAGTCTTCTGCGTACTACCCAATTCCATTTCAGAGGTACTTAGATTTAGGCACAAAAATACTCCCTTTGACTTCCAAGTATGGATTCATGTATCGAACTGCTTCTAGATTCTGCTTCTAGTCAGGTGTTCAGGTGAAGATTAGATTTCTTTTGTCCCAGGCTATTAAATAATAATATTTGTTCTCATTCACACAGGTAAATCACTCTCCATGTATATTTTTTAAAGACTAGACAAATTAGCAGTAACATGGATAAGAATTGAAAACAAGCTGATATTGAGCTAGTTCCTGGGAAATACTGCAGTCATTGATAATTTTTCCTCGTTTCCAATTAGCAGTGGATATGTGAGGATGGAGCAGAGGGCTCTCCTGCTTACAATGAGCAAAAAAAAAAAAAAAAAAAATTGCTTGCCTGGCAAAGGGGCAGTAGAATGAGCACAAAACATCAAATAAATGCACATGTAATTCAGCAACAAGTCAAAAAAAAAAAAAAAAAAAAAAAAAAGGCCCAATCTCTTTTTCCACAGCCACCACCACCCACTATTTATCGCAAATTGAGGCCAGGCGGTGGTGAGAAGCTCAGCCAAGAGCACAGGACAACAGAATGGAGCTGGGGTGTTCCCTGGTTCCATATTTACCTAAAAATGCATTAGCATAACTGGGGGGAAATGATATAATAGTAAAGAAAAACAAGAAACTTTTATTCCCCAAATTTGAATTGACAGCCACTAGCAGCACTGCTCTTACCTAGCACGGAGGGAACATAAACTGAACTGACCTTTAACATTGCACAGATTTGTGAGAGGGTGAATGAAGAAAACCTTCCTTGGGTAAGACAGACAGCACTGTCAAATAGTTGTGTCAAGAGGCCATCAGAGAATTTCAATATTGCTCAAATTGGATTGATACGTGTGATGATTATCACTGATTGTAGATAGAGCAGAATCACCAGCAAGAAATATAACAGGTTGTACCAAAGAAGAATAGAACTCTGACTCTTTTCATAGGGAACTGAATTGCTTGAAATCTAAACAAGCCCTCAAGTTGCTAACTCAAAACCCTTCAAAAATGAACTGCAAGGTCCATTAGCTTATGCAGTCTTTTTTTTTAAACTGAACTTTTTATATAAACCAATCTTGTGGACTTAGTGTGCTCTAATTACAAGTAAAGAGCATCAGATATTCATACAAATAAAACAACACAAGAGCAAATAAGAAACAATCCACAATGGGTAAAATATCCGGGAGGAATGAAAGCTCTCTTTTCATTTCCTAAAATTCCCCCAAAAGACAGGATTTATTTTCTTATCCCTCATGCCATTTATCCCCTAGGCAGTTATCATAACTGTCAAAAAAGCAGCCTTCAGGTTAGTATTGTCAACAAACAAAAACATTCTAGATAAGTCTCTTGATAGTCTAAAACTATTTCAAATTTCCCTGTAGAATGGGTATTCATGGCTGATCTCCAAACACTACAAACCTAGATAACATATAAAGTTGTTAATTGAGCTGATATACACAAATAAAAAGAAATCTGAAAATAACTGATTGCCATCCTTTTAATTACAAGAATATTGAAGAATAATAGGATGGATCTCTGAAGCACTTGCATCAGGGTACAAGATGATGCTCCACTGAATGGGGGTATTTTAATTTCCTAGTTTAATTCTAATGCAGTTTGTATCAATATTAGTTTGAACTTGAAACAAAAAAGATTTTCCATTTTTAACAGAACAACGGGCAAAGGCAGAGACCGATCCAAACTGGATGGGGAACTGCACTCTCTAGATAGTACTCCCAAATGAAGCACATCTAGCCCATGCTTTTCAGTACCTGCTTCTGGCTTTCTTCAAGGTAGATGGTACAAAGTTATCTATGCCTATGTTTAGCCTCATGGGGACACATTGCCTTCACAAAAGCCTACGTGGCATGAACCACGTGAAGGTGGAGATAACCAAACTTGAATATTTAAAGACCTTTACAGTCAGACAGTTAATCAAAAGTTATTGACAAAACGTAAGAAATTAGATAAGCAAATGATCAGATTTTGCTGATCTGTAGCGGTGATACTAGACTAGAGAATCCAAGGTGAATTTCTGTACTGAGTCACTCAGTATACACAACTGCATATACACAACACAGGCCAAACAAGCTCTATAAGCAAGCAGAATTTTTATAAAGCATTTCTTAAACACTACTATACCTTACTTTGTATTAGAAAAGGATATAGACAAAGAGTAACACAAACCTGTGTAAACAAATGACTAGTCATCTAATACTAGCCAAGAAGAAACTAATTAGATGTAAGCAGATGGTCTCATACCTGTTGTACAATTGTTGTTAGTTCCAGACAGAGCTGTATGACATTATTTCTTGTAACTGAGTAATCTGTCACAGCAGCAAAAGGTGATCTAAAACAAAAAAAAAAATGGAAAAAGGTGTTGAATTGCTCTGGCATATTTGCACTTTTTTCATGTGTCCATAATGTGTTCAGTACACATAGTGCTTTAATAATGATTTTTGTCTAGAAAAAGTACACAAAAAATATACACAATCTACTACTAGAAAAAATATACACAATCTACTACTAGAATTTACTAGAATTGTAAAATATAGAATATATATTCCTGGAAAATGATTGATTTTTCTTCATTTCCAAAATTCTTCAAGGACTCTCATTCTAAAAGCACCCTCTTCACATAGCCTTGCCACTGCAAGCTGGTGGACAGCCCACACTTTCCCAGTCGTGCTACGTTGCCTTCTGCAGCGATGGTCAAACACCCTGGCAAAAGCAAGCAAGGGTGCTCCTTCCATCCGTGACACGAGCTGTGCCCAGATGTGAATCAGCCTAGAAAGGCATTTGCTTGATTCCCTGGGGTTCCTGGGACCTGAACTAATATCTGGTGAAATTACTGGAGGGACTAAGAGGAAGTTAAATTTTTAGTCAAAAAGGAGAAGAGCATATTGAACCAGAGGGGAATGAACACTCAGATGCAGCTGCAAAGGCTAAGCTGGAGGCACAACCTAACATCCCGCTAGACTGTACTATAATCAGAAGGGTTTAGTGAGAGGAAAGTGTAATCCAGCATTTAAAAAGGTCACCTACATGCATTCGGCATCTTAAAACTTCATGTCAAAATGTTTTAAATGGCTGTCTGCCTAGAGGCTTGTTTGTTTTCTCTCTTATAGACACTTGAGCTAATAAAATATATCGCAAAGCACTGCAAGGATTGCAATATCTCAACAACTTGTCAATAGATCATCCAGGGTGCAGACCTCCTCAATAGTATTTCAAAAATTTGGGTTTTTAAATTCATTCTGGTATCAACACCCTTCCCCAACTGCCTTCTTCCATCACATCTTAAGAACATACAGTTATATATGCCTGTAAGAGTTTTACAGTGCCAGCTGATATTATACCTTCCTCATTTAAATCTACAGAGAAGGTTCCAGTACAAAGAACTCAGTTATAAACCTGTCTGAATGGTAACTCCAAATATGGTTCAACTGGATCTTAATAGGTTTCAACATTTTTTTCCATATGCAGGATTATTGTCAGTATCAGCAAATTTGAAACTGTCCATTACTAAGTCCATGTGGACTGCTCTATCTACCATAGTTTTCCTAATATTCACTTTTATTGTCAGTGCTGCCTTGATGGTTCACAAGAAGAAATAATCTGTAAAGCCATCAGACTTGAGTAAGAACATCCATCTGATGCAATACATCAAAATTTGATGTAATACATCAAATACAACAATATACACTTTCTGCCCATATTATGAGAGCAGTTTATTCTCTTTAAAATAAGATTACAGGAACTGGAAGCTAGACAGAGTTTAAGAAACCTAAAAGCAGCCTAAAAGTGAGGATGTTGTACATAGCATGTGGGTAAGGCCCAAAAGGTACTTGACAAAAGCTTTGACATAAGGTTATAATAGCAATTTAAAGTGCAAGTTTTATGCAGCACTTGGCATGCGCACAGTAAATACATACTGTACTACGTTTATTCACAGACACATGCACACAGTATTCCTGAATTTCAGGAGATGTGTGAGTTTATTAAAGGATAAAAGTTAACTAAATACTTTGTTATAAACTATAATTGTGTTAAGAAGTACTTGAGTCAAGACCTAAAAAAAAGTAATTTTCCTTTCAAAATTTTAACTGTTGAGAATCTGAAACCTACCTGAAACTTTGAATTAACAAAGTCATTTTCACTTACGAATTCACCATTATTTAGAATGAACAAAATCAAGCCAGCGAATGGTATTATTTTACTTTTAGTATGGATGTTAATACAATTTGATGCTCAAATTACACAACTGGAATCTATTTGACATTTCAAAGCCTCCAGCATTTCTCTGAACAAAGTCGCATGGTAGGTTTTGGCTTCTAATACTGAAAGAGCTTCCCTCATACTTTTACAATTTAGTTCAGTTTCATGCTTTATGAGGAAAATAATGACATTTTTACCATCATTGCTCCTAGTGAATGTTAGAAATAACCTGAATAAACTTGATTGTTATTAAAGAACAAGCAAAAGGACTGCAACTTTACTCGTCTTTGTTATGCTGAATCGTAACATCAGAAACTTCCTGAAAACAACACATGTATCTGGCAGTAAAGGTGGCAAAAGAGGCAAAAATCTACCAAAATCAATAACTAAAACTATATCAATATTATTTTGAAAAATGCCTCATGACTTGGATGGGTTAGGAGAGATCCAGGTAACAAAAGCTTCACCGGTCCAGTCTGCAAGCATAACTCCACAGAGGGCTGTATGGCCACGATGGCATGAGGAGCTGGGGAACTGTAAGGCCAGAGGCTTCCTAAAACAGCTGTATTGCCAGAGGAAATGTATTTTGGTACTGCATTCCAAATCTTGCTTTCACTGTGAGCCTTTAGCGAGACTTAGTAGAGCAATATGTCTGCAGTTTCTACCAAAATATCAATAAAAGCTCATTATAGGATCACTGATTGGATTTCATGAGCACCCCATGAAACACCAATCTGACAAAAATCTCCTTCATTAATAAAATAGCCACCGATAGTAAAATGCTATAGTATTAGTATTACTATTGTATAGTATCATTACAGCTGTGAGCAGATGAGGCAAGGTATGCGTAACTGCAAATAAAATCTACATATACTGTACCTTTCCAATTGGCTGCTGCAATACCTTCCTTCTCAATCCATCACAAACATGCCGTGTAAACAGCATTCCTTGAGGAATTAGGCCACATCCCTCAACTTATTAAAAATTCATTTCTTGGTTTGGCTGAACCAATTCTATCAACTTCCAATTTCTCCTATTTTCTTTCAAAACTGCCTCTTTCTCAGTCCCTCCAGCCCTTAGCTCTCAGCTGTCTCGTACAGCTCCAGTGAAGCAAAGTCCCTGAGAACATGTACAATGTTCAAAACATGCGTACAGAGCTTTTGAAGGAGCACAAGAGCTAAGAAGCTGTGTTGGACTGTGTTGCCCCGCTTCTTGCAGAGACATTGACCTCTGCATCCCCTTCTTTCACCTCTCTCATGGGTAGTTCCAATAACTTTTCCACGTATGTTTCCCTGTACATGGAACCTTTCTGACCCAGTTCCTCTTCAATTGCTTTTTTCTTCCTTCAAATCCCCCCCAAACTCCTTCTTTGCAACACCTACACAAAAAACCTTTGTAACTCCTCTGCATAGCTACCTGACCACATACTCCTTCTGCTCAACTCCTCCTCCAGACCTTGCCTTATTTCTCCTTTCTATGCCTTGTCTTTCCCTTCTGACCTTATTTCTTAAGGGAACCAGATCCATGCAATCCTTGTGAACACATGGAAGGCATTTTTTGCCCTTGTTCTTATCCCCTTTTCCTACTGTTTCTTCCCAACATTTGAACTCATGAGCCATTTCAAACCACTTTAATAGATGAGTGGTGAAAAGGTTTCAAACAGAATTAAGTTCATACATGTTTTGCAACCAGGTATGCAGTTGGATAACAGGGAGCACTATGCAAACCCACCACATGAACCCAAACCTTATTAGATACCATCGGCCACAGCAAGATGAAGAGGTCCTTTCTAATTATCTAATTCACAGGAAAAAAAACTTGCTTGCACTTTTTTGAACACTAAAGTCAATCAACTTCAAAGCTCTGATATATAGAAAACAAGGTTTCCCTAAGGCCAGATTATTCTGGAGCTCTTGTTGTTTCTTTTATTTTTTTCATTTTTAAACTGGTGTTTGAGATAGATAAACAATGAAAGACCGGATAAAAAATGAAAGACCTCGAGATGCCAAATATAAATATGTTGATATATGTAAGACAGGCTGTAACAAATGCATGCATATAGGCAGATGAATAGATGTAAACATTTTTTAAACACGGACTTTCTTTATTGAATTGAGACCTTTATAAAATCATTAGCAGTGTCAGCATCTTTTAGGACAAGAAATAAAAAATGAATCCAACAAAGTAATCAACAAAGGCACTGTTGAAGACTAGTAGAAATGCCAGCTACATGAATACAGCACAGTTAATTCCCTCACATGTCACTGTTCTACTGATAAAAAAAATGCTATTCAACAACAATAATACACCAGATTGATGTACACATGCAGTAAAATCAATAGCCAATATTAAAAAAGTATATATTGTGAAGTAGATGCTTGTTATTTCTCGATTACCAGGACTTTTCTTAACATATGCTTAAGCCTCATCTATCTTATTTATATAACATTTGCCTAGAGAAAAAATATATTAAAAAAATCAGAAATAATTATTTCTCATCAAAAGATTTGTGATTTGGACAAATACAGACTGCTGCTTGTAAAAGCATTACTGTCAAATAAAAGTTAATCATATTTCACCACTCGTTGTCATACTGAATTATTGTATATCAACAGGTATTGTGAAGGGTTGAAAAACTGTACAATTCTTACTTGAGCATCCTAACAAGGGAAAACACATTCAGAGCAGTTTGTCTAAACATAAGCCAAAATTCTTCGAAAGAGAGAGGCAACCCAATTAGGAGTGTAATTCATTTTTCAAAGGCAGCACTTTAAGCCCAAACACATGCATTTCTGAACAGAGAGTACTGTTGCACATATTTTTGTGCCAACATCCATCTGAGATTCATGGTTCTAGGCTTTTCATGCAACAAACATGTTAATTTGTATTTGAGGGAGGAATGTAGAGAAATCATGCTGAATAAAGGGATCCTTTAACTGAGTGCTCTGTAAAGCATTTACAGCTGTCCCAGTAGCACTAGTAAGTGCTACCACAGTCTTAGCCAGCATTTGCTGACAGGTTTGGCATCCTATTAACACAAGCATAAAGGGAAGTACAGAAAAGAAACATAAGATTCACAGGCTGGAGACTGAAAATCAATTGACAAAAAGTGGATTATTTGTGTGGTAAGTA